CTTCAAGGTCATCGGTGCGTCCGCACTCCACTGGTAATTAGTGGTGCTTAAAGTTTAACTTGGCCACCAACAGGTTGTCTGAAAAAGCAGCGAAAACAGAACTTCACGTGAACATAAAGAAGACGCAGGTGATGAAGACAACCAACCAACAACAAAAACAAGCACAAATCACTATCAACGGAATAAGCGTTAAAGACATCATTCCCTTCACTTGTCTAGCTAGGCAACATCATTTCAGCTTCATAGGAATGCAACAAATGAGAATGTCAAAACCAGAATCAGAAAGGCAAGACAGACCTTCATCACTCTGATATCAGTTTGAAAATCTTCTGAACTCCCCCGGAGTATAAACAACAAAATTCGGATTTTTAGCTTCATTGTCAAGTCAGTCAGTCAGTTAGTGAGTCACTTGCTTTATATGAGCTAGTGCTTCAAGAAAAGAATTTCTCATGAGTCACTTCAGACTTTTATAAACAGCTGCTCCACTCACTGCCTCCTTACTGAAGATAAGATGGCCGGTCACGATAGAATTAGCAACAGGGAACTCAGGGAATGAACGAGTTAAGAACCTATTACCCAACAAATATTTCAACGACAATGAAGATGGATTGGACACACGCTGAGGGGACCGTTGAATGACATCACCCGTCAGATAGATCCTCAAGTGAAATGACGAGTTGGCTGGCAGGGTGACACGGAGGAGATCGTGTGAATTTGAGAAGATGAGAGCCTATGGGCAACAGTGGAGCCAGCCAGAGAGGACTGTGGAGAACAGAATGGAAAGGCGATGTGCTTTTTGAATCCCCCCATATTCCACTTGGAACCCAAGAAATAATAATACTCAATCGACTTAGTACTGAAGATATTTTAAAGTCGTATAATGTGTTTTTTTTTTATAAATGGTAGACGAAAGAACTGATATATGTGTAAAACTTGGGCACTGTGGAAGTAAGTAATTCCATATTAGTTTGTTTATAAGATGTATGACACAGTGAAACAGTATTATGTACTGGATGACAAGGTTTCGAACACAATTTATTTATTGTTCATAATCATATCAATTGTGATCACACGACTTTGAAACTTGTTTTTTATAGTTTTCTTTGTCTTCTCCTATTTGTCGTCGTTGGGGTAGTAGAATTTTCCAGATCTCCGACTGGACAGGCGTTAAATCATTCCTATTACACGTGTTCGCAGTTGATTCGATAAACAAATGCTTAAATAATAGAGCACAAAAACTAAGTAGTACCAAGGAAAATCTAAGACAGGAAGTGAGGCATATAAGATAAGCTTTGAAACTTAATAATTACCCTGATAAATCAATCAGGAAGTATGTAGGGAAATGTAAAATTAAAGTAAATAATGATAGTAGCGATAGTGATATTAATAATAATGATAATAATAAAAGTGATAATAATAATAATATTAATGATGACACCAACAATAAGGAATCTAAATCATCACTAGTAATTCCATACAAGGAAGGAACCCCGGAAACCTTACGCAGAATTATTAACGATGCTGGCAGGAATAAAAGTGCCTGACATTCAAATCCACAAACTCAATTAGAAACAAGCTTTGTTGGTTAAAGGATCAATCCTGTGGAGACTTTAAAACAAAACAATTTAGTTTATCTAATATCCTGCCTGCAATGATTGTCAGGTCAAATACATAGGTCAAACTAGTAGAACAGGTACAGTCAGACTAGCCGAACATAAAAACCTAGCAAAATCTAGGTTGGTTGACCCGATTAGGATAAGAAATCTAGAGGAAAGTTCAGCTATAGCACTGACTACATGCACTTACACACAACCATACAATAGGATGGGATAGGATGACAGTGTTATAATCTAGTGTAAGAGCAGAGTGGAGGCAGAGATTGATAATGGAAGCTTTGTTTATCGAATTGACTGCAAACACGTGTAATAGGAATGATTCAACACCTGTCCAGTCGGATATCTGGAAAATTCTACAACCCCAACGACGACATATAGGAGAGAATAAAGAAAACTATGAAACTCAAGTTTCAAAGTTGTGTGATTATAATTGATGAAATGATTATGAACAATAAATAAATTGTGTTCGAAACCTTGTCATCCAGTAAATAACAATAACACTGTTTCACTGTGTGATACATCTGATAAACAAACTAATATGAAAGAACTGATACTTATTACTTTAATACTTAAGGAGTATTATATACTTGGGGATAAAAATAGAATTAGTCTTCGTGTGATGACAGTGGAAGACATTACGTTGTCTGTTTTTTTAGGTCACTTACAGGTGATTTGGATCAACGATGTAGAATTTTACATTTTTTTACTTGAATTTCGTTTATTTCACCGTGGTAGGCTAGGAAGTGAGTGACTCTAGGCTAAGTTGCAAAGGTACACGGGGAAGGCTGTCGATACATGTATATATATTCATTCCCTAGGGAGGGGGAGAGTGTTTGTAATTTTTCTTGATTTTACATGAATTTAAATGATTGAATAAATAAAGCATAATGTTTGACAACCACGCAGGTGGTTCGGGGTTCGATCCCCGGCCGCAGACACACTCCTAAAACTTCGCTTAGGCAGTAATAAGACTGGTAAAGAAGGAAGGTTGGGCTGGGCATGACGCTGGCTAGCAACCCTAACCTGTAAAAATAAATACAAGCCTCTAGCTTGAATCAGCCCTATGTTCCACTGGGAAAGTAAAGGAATAAAATAAATAAATAAATGAAACAGAAAGCCTACACATTTCAGATGTGTGTATCTGAGTGTGTTTCTGCACAGTGATCATTGTTCATCAAAAGTGCAATCTTTATTACTGATACCTGTCAATATATATATATATATATATATATATATATATATATATATATAGTTACTATGCAATCGATAAAAGCAGTAATCCCGTAAAAGATATTTCCATCATCTATAGAAGTACATTGATGATGTAGTGTGTATTGAAAGGCTTCAATTAATTCATCACATGTCCACCGATGTGCTGACGACACCCTTTAATAATAATAATAATAATAACTTTATTCCAAACAATAATAATTATAAAGAATGGAATTTCCAGCGCTTTTATACATATTACAGCAATTTAGCTCTTTTTATATATATATGTGCATATATAAAATTTAAAATAGTAATAATAACAATAATATCAATAATGAAATCAGTATAAAGAGAATGTTGGTGAAAGTATTAAGAAGTATAAGTAGTATCATAGATAATACATGTAATAGTGATGATAATAATCTTTGCCTATACTTTGCAGTTCATTCAGATTAGTGATTTAAAAAGTTTATAAGTTAAAAGTTCTTTTCTGACATCCAACTCCCTCTTCACACAGAACCCGTGCTAAATGACGGTAGAATGGTTGAATTTTTATATTTATTAGCCGTATGGGCATAAATTTCTTATGGTTCCACCCCCGAAGAAATACAAAGAGCATGTTGAGAATAAAGAGGATTTTCAGTAACGTAATATCTTAACAACAGAAGACAAGGGCTAGGCAACAGATCGTTTATTAAGGAAATCAAAGCATATTTATATATTTTCATGTACATTATTACAGATTAGTTAAGCAAACAAACACAGTCTTCTGATTGGTTGTTTTTCACTTAAAGTTTATCTTTCATCTCTTTGTGACTGTTTCTTGAATGTCAGATCATCTATATGTTAACTGTATCCGCCTACGCAAAGTCTGCTGTGGTCGGTTATGCATCAGTCTTTGTTCATATTTTCTCACAACAAATCTTGAGAACGTAAACGTTGACGTAAATTACTGTCTACCAATTTGGCTAGCAGCCAGCTCTCACCACGCTCATCCCCCCGTCAAAGACTTGCTACTGAAGTTGGTTCGGTCTTCTTGATTTTTGGGGCTTTGCTCTTTTGTCTTGCTGTCTGGAATCTCGGCGCTTGCGGATGTTCATCTGTTTCTTTGTGTTTACCATTGCGATTGTGTCTGCGTAACCCCATTTCAATGTGACCATATGTGGTCCTTCCCACTTTGGACACTGTTTGCCTGACCCTGTCGCACATTCGTAGGTATTTCGCCTCACACTTCCATATGCTGCTTTCTCCCGACCTCCCAGCAGCGTCCCAAGTAGCAGCCTCATCGCTGACAGATCTTGAACGCCACTCAACTGCGAAGAAGCCTGAAAGTCCTGCGCGAAGATCCATATGTCTCCATCAAAAAACTGCAAGGCAAAGGCTTTCCATTTGTCAGGAGGCAGCGACACCAAATGTAACAACAGAAGACAAGGGCCAGGCAACAGAACGTTTATTATGGAAAATCAACACATATTTATAGATTTTGATGTACATTATTGTAGGTTAATGTTAGTAGAAAATACAGTCTGTTGATTGGTTGTTTCTCACACAAAGTTAACCTTTCATTTCTTGTGGCTGTATCAGTTCATCTATATGTTAACTGTATCCGCCTGTCCATCTTGACCTTGTTTTCACATGACTAACATTGACCTCAGTTACTGTCAACCAATTTGGCTAGCAACCATCTCTCACCACAATATATGTAATAATGATAATAATCTTTGCTTATACTCAGCAGTTCATTCAGATTAGTGATTTAAAAAGTTTATAAGTTAAAAGTTCTTTTCTGACATCCGACTCCCTCTTCACATAAAACCCGTGCTAAATGACGCTAGAATGGTTGAATTTTTCATATTTAGTAGCCGTATGGGTATAAATTCCTATGGAGTTTCTTATGGTTCCACCCCCGCGAAGAGATACAAGGAGCAAGTTGAGAATAAACAGGATTTTTTTGAGAAGTCCAGGAAAGAATAAGTGGGACGAACAATATAAAGGAGAATGGGCAGAATACATGAATTCATAATCTATCCTGATAATACCAGAACACAGAATTCCCTTTCCAAGAAATGTATCTCCTAGCTTTCTCCTGCTAGCCACTATCAGTTATACTTGTGAAAAGTTTCCTCAATCTGTAGTGATTTTCTTTTCTTTTCTTTGCTTCTGCTGTTTTAGCTTTCCTCAAGAATTGGTTATCATCATAATTCTGGTAGTACCGGTGAGAATAGTATCTCGTCAAGTAGTTCATCACATCTACGTGCACAAACTCCAGATCCATATGTGGATAGACGTTTAGGCTTGGATAGTCCTACGCATCAGCATCAGCATCAACCTCGTCATCATCACCATCAACAACAACAGAACCATCCTACTTATCAACATCATCAAATGTCAGATCTAGTATCTAACTCAAATTTCGATCATTCAGATTATATGCATCATTATTCAAATGGTATTAATAATAATAATGCTAATGGAAATAATTCAAATTTAACTGTGATTCATGATCGTCGTCGACGTGTGCATCCTGTGGATGATAGTGGTAAGTCTGCAGAAAGAGAGAGACCTTTCCATTGTGTATATATGTTACGTAATTCTTTGAGTCACTTAACTGTATCATTATTATAATTACTGTTCCCTTGGGTTCCTAGTGGAACCTAGGGCTTCAACTGCACGTCTCCACTTGCTGCTTCTGTCTTCTGCTGTACTTTTCACCTGCATCCATGTTAATCCATACTGTTTCAACTCCTCTTCACACGATCTCCTCCATGTCACCCTTGGAAGTCCGCTCGAGGGCCTGACGCGCTATGTCACCCAACGGCCTCCTCAGCGAGTGTCCAATCCATCTCCACTTTCTCCTGCATATTTGTTGGGCGATTGGTTCTTGTTTTGTTTGTTCCCATAGTTTCTTGTTGGTGATTCTTTCCGGCCGGCCATCTGATCTTGAGTATAGAACGAAGACAGCCGTTGATAAAGGTCTGCAACAGGCTGTTGGAAATATTCTTTGTGACCCGCCAAGTTTCTGATCCATCCGTATAGAAGAACTGACTGACTTGACGTTTGTATTGAAAATCCGAATGATTTTGTTGTTGATGATGAGTGACGAAGATTACCAGATTGGTTTCAGGTCGATGAATGTGTTTCTCGCCTTCCCGATTCTCGATTTGACATCCTCGTCCGTTCCTGATGTAGTTGAGACAATGTTCCCTAGATAAGTGAATGAAGTAACCTCTTTCAAATCCCTCCCATTGATGGTGATTGGCGGTGGATGTTGCTGTTGTTGTTGTTGGTTGGTTGGTTATTTCCATAACCTCCGTCTTCTGTATGTTCACCTGGAGTCCTGTTTTCGTTGGCTGCTTCTCCGACCAGTTTGTCGGTTTTGGCTTGTAAGTCTTTGATTTTGTGTGCCATCAAACACAAATCATCTGCGAAATCCAAGTCTTCTAGGTTCTTCATGTCGGTCCAGGATATCCCTGTCTTCTCCACCACAGTTAGGAATATCATTGGTGATAATAAGCACCCTTGTCTGTCTCCTGTGTTTACTCCAAACGCCTCGCTGAGTTTTCCGTCACTTAACTGACATATCTATTATCATGGTAATGAGAGTTAAATAACTCATTTTTCATTACATCTGTGGTAAGTCGATCGATATAGTTTTTGTTTTTTTTTAGAACTAAAACAACACCCCATGTCAACCAGTATTTCAGTATGACTTGTTGACTGGTGGTTTCGTAAAATGCCGATATCAGCAAACTCTTTGTCCCGCCCACTGAACAACAGTCTGTTCGCTGTGAGACATGCAAAATCCTATAATTCCATTATGGGTAAAATTTATTTTGATACAGTCTTACAGTGTTTTACAGCAAATAATATTTACTGATGCCACCACGTTTCGAGCACAATTTATTGCTGATCATAATCATATCAAGGCACTACGCACACAACTTTCTAACTTCGTTTACGTAATTCCATTATTTTCCATCGCTTCATTTGATTGGTAGTAGTATTTTGCATATTTCCAGTATGAGTAGTGAGTGATTCCTATCGCATGTGTTGAGTGTAGACTCGATGAACCAGCCATAATTTAGTAATCAACCTCTCTCTTTCCACGCAGACACCTATATTACTTCTTAGAATTTTCACCCTCTCACACCACCCTATTGTGTGGTTGTGTGTTAATGCATGCAGTGAAATTGTTGAGTGGTGGTCAGTCATTCTTACCTTAGTTAAATTCTTGTGTTCCGACAATCTGACTAGCCCCCGACCTACTAGTTTGACCTATGTAGTTGACCTAACTCACAGTCATTGCAAGGTATTATGTAAATTATATTATTTTCTCTGATTGGGTCAACCGACTAGGTCCTTTAACCTACGGGGCTTGTCCTACCTGATTGAGTTTGTAGGTTTAAATGCCACCACTCTAATTCCTGCTTTATTAAGAATCCTACGACGTAGGGTCTCAGATGTCAGGGGTAGTCAGATTGTCGAAATATAAGAATTCAGCTAGGTGTGGAATGGATGACTGACCCCACGAAGATAAGTATGAAATTCTCAGCATTCGTCACAGTATTGCATCATCTGATGTACTGAAATTATAAATAAAAGTAACCACAGGTATTTGTCCACATTTATGGCGGGAATAAAGTCAAAAATGTGCAAAGTACAAAATGAGAATAATAACCATATTAGCAATAATAATAATAAGAGTAGGTTTGTTTGAAACAGCACTGTTGATAAAGTATGGGATTTTAGGATGTTATAGAGTATTGAATTTAGCGTTCTCTTGACATGGCATGGTGAGGGGGAAAACAAAAAATAACGGTTGCTACTACAGAGCTTAAATGGTGTTTACAATAATGAAAAAATAGAGGAAAAACAAGAAAGGACTACTTAATATGAGAGAGATATAATAACAGCAAAACTTGTTTGTCTAGGGATGGACAAAGTCCTTCATTTACTAGTGGAAAGAAGGTTAGTTAGTTCGTGCCTGACACTACTTCCATCACACATGAAATATGTGCCGCCAAAAATATGGCATCATGGAATTTTTATACTTGAACTTACGCGTGTAGTCTTCTGAAATGACTTCTTCTTTTGCCTGAAGAGATACAAGGTGAAAGCTGCAAGTAAACTAGGTGTTTACAATGGGACTCAGTCACCTTAGCAAACATTGCATGAAATCTTAGTGCCTATCATCAATGACGATGTCAACGATATGACCCAATCGGATGTCACTCGCCCTACTGTTGACAGTCTTCAGAGTTCTACTAGTCAAGAAGAGAACACCTAAGCTGGCTGCACTTCAAAGAGTCTTCAGCCCATGTGTGGATTGCTGAACCACAGTCGAAGACTAACAGTGTGTCTTATATTCTACTCAATTTGTTATTTGATATCATCTCTATTTAGCACTATCAATATTTTACGACTTAAATGATTTTTGATTGAACTCTAGTTAGTAACTAGTGCAATGTGTCTAGTTCTATCTTTAGTGCAGACTGAATTCTATCAGTCAAGTTTACAATGTGGCTACCGTGCCACTAGTTGGCTCGCCATCACGGTACACTGTGAGTCGTTGATATTAGATGATGGAACTTGGTTTCGTGCTGGTTTGCCGTAGTTACTGACTAGTGCCCAGTCAAAAAATATCCAAAGCGACATGAGTTCCTTCAAGGTGACTGCAGATACGCCTTGCCCTGACTGGTGAGTGTCAACTAGCACGAAACGTCGGTCAAGCAAGGCTTCCTATGGTCGATTGCCTCCAACCATCTGATACCAACAAAGCCAAAGTTTGTTGAAATAAGCGGGCATTTTCGCCAAATTTTTTGTTGCTCTCTATAATGGGAATAACACGGCTAAATGTAATTTATGTGTGAAAAATTCTAGCCTGGCTTTGCTGGCAAGTAAGGCGAATTTCTACAGTGTTCATTCAACACACTTAGAATAGTTTCAGGTTAGGTGAAGTAGTGCTGTTGAATACTTAGTTGAAGCTAACCAAATAATCAATCACTCAATATTCAGCTGACAGTTAACTATGTAATTAATCAGCATTAATTATATACATCTCTCTGTGAGTAAGTAGTCCATGATGAACCCAATGCTATTTTTGGTTGATGATGACGACTGTCACTGGAATCCAGGATGATGTGCATTTCATCTTGTTTAGGTGTTCCCACTGAGATTCGCAGCCCCTCATGCATCGTTATAAACGTCAAAGCAACTATCCTCTAGGGCTATGAGAGCCCACCTCTATTATTTTTTGCTACGGGTAACAGTTATTACTTCGTTTCTAAGATAATTTGCATTTCTGATTGATTGAATGATTGATTATGTTGGACCTGAATGAACAACTTACGAATTTGGTTTGTGTGTATAAGAAGGAGTTCCTATTTAAACTCATTTTGAACAGTGTATTTCAATTTCTCTGTTGTTAGCTAAACTTCACAAAAATAGGTGGCACAGTGGTAGAGTGCTCGCCGACCACGCCTCATGTGGTCCGCGGTTCTATCCCCAAACAGTCATAAAAATGAGAAACTTTTACACCAAAACTGACGTATATTTACAAGAAAATGCATGAAGAAAAACATTAAAAACAGGGTATCTTTCTCTGACATGACTTAAAAATACGTCCTAGTTATAATGAGGAGTATCAGTTGCTAAGTTACACTAATTTCTTTACATGTGTTCACTGAGTTGACTGAAGGTGACTTGTTTTTGTGAATCGCTCATCTCTCTTATCCTGGTATGCAGTCCTCCACAAAGCCCTCAGTTGAATTACTATGGTTCCCAGTAAGAGGACCAACGACTTCTTCCTAGGTAAATGTGGATAATAAAAGAAATTAAAACAAATGATATCAACTCTAAATTCTATCCCTAGTCGTAACCCTGATCCTAATCCTGACCATAATACTTACCTTAACTCTAATCCTAATCCTAAGGAGCTATGAACACATTGTCGAAACAGTACTTAAAAAAAAGATCTGGCTGAAATTTGCCTCTTAGTTGGTGAAATATCATTGATATTTCAGCAATAATAGTGACAGGTGCCGTCGACCAACGACTACCATGCGTTCAAGGTCATTGGAGCGTTTTGCACTTCTGCGACGCTAACGTTGAACTTCGTCATACCAATACGAAGAAACCTTGTTTTATGCCTTGCTTGTAACCATAATGTTTAGAAATCTTATCTGTGAACATGTCTTATTCTACAGAAGCTGTTTTAACACCAGATAGTGGGTAGATGGGTGAGTGGGTGGCTGTTTGACGATAGGCTAGTGAAGAGCAGCACAAAATGTGTCAAAACGTCATTTACTTCCCTCCACGGTGTGTTGGTTGGTATACTTGACATTTTCTGTTTATGAATAATAATTCACTCAGAGTTGTCAAAGCTTTCTCCCCCCCCTTCATTCAATCAAGTCTCTCTCTATCATAGATTAGTGTCAATTCATGCCTACATTAAAGTCATCAGATTTTAGCTACCTCTTATTTTGTTGTTTCTGCTGTTGTTGTGTAATTATGACATTGTAAAATAAGATTAAGAAATCT